ACAAATAAAATATATTTTTCTACCCTGATATTACTATTATATAATGAATGTTATTATGACTACATTAATATTTTAATGATCGGCAGCCAAAAAATTATCCACTGTATCCAGTGTTGGAAATTCAGTGTGCGTGCTAACCAGATATGGAAATCATCAGCGGATTTTTGCAAATAGTTGCCAAATTTGGTTAGCACCGCACACACCGCACCCTGAATTTCCAACACTGACTGTATCATAGTAAAATTTGTGTTACGTATACACTACCCTTAAATAAGATCTATAGGATTATCCTTTTTTGTAAATTGAATGTGCAGATCCATCTAGATCAAAAAACAAAATCTTTTTTTTTTTTTAATTATTATAGAAAATTTTTTATGTATTTTCTTATACAAAAAAAAACAAAGAAGAGGGAGACAAGGAAAAAGCCAGAAATGAGTAAGTAACATTAGAGCATGATGGTTAGTATCGATAGTTACTTTAGAAAATAAAGAATCCTTAGAGCCTTTAGTTTATAGTGTTTACATGTTTGTTGATCTAATATTTTTTTTAAAAAATGTATCATAGATATAATATAAAAAAAAGAAAAAAAGATTTTGATGCCACTCATGAGTAAGTGTTTATGATAAGAATGGTGGTGGTTATCACCACTTATTATCACTCTAGTTGATATATATGATATGATATATGACTAATATTTATACTCTTTTTTTATCCTATTTATTATTTACCATTATTAACAAATTACAAATTCAAGTCTAAAAAAAACTAGCATGGATCCAGAATTGGTATATATCTAATATTTTAGTGATTTTGAAACATTTTTAGCATCAGAAGACAACTTTGATGTGAAAATTCACGATTATCTATACATTGAATAAAAATTGTAGGATTTCCAAACTGCAAGCTTAGGTGTTGCAGCTAGAACCATGCGAATTGAACTAATATAATGATTGATTCAATCAAAGATATGAAAGCTTGAAAAGTATTTATTTATTAATATATCAACAATGTCAATCAATACATGTATATAATTGAATTAATTGAATTTTATTATTATTAATGATGATTTGTAGGCTTTTCATAATGAAATGGAAAATGTTTATTTGTTATTTACTCATTACTCAAGCAAAAAATTGAAAGGAACAAAACTGTAATATATATACATGTATGCATGCATACCAGTGTTGGCAAATTGACTGATCCATTGAGAGCTGATGGACTTTGGACTGGTCCATTGCCAATAATAAATTACTAAATATGGCAAAAATGTTACATTAATGGAACCAATGGATCACCAATAGACCACCAATGGACCATACATTTGCCAACCCTGATGCATACATACATACATTTATTTTTGATTTCAAAAAAGAGATTGGGGTAAAGTCAAGTCACCTAGTCCAGAACAAATTATTTCATATAAGGATTTACCAACATGTGAACATACAGAATATTAAGGATACCAGTTGCAACTTTTGATGATGGTTGCTACCATCTTTGCATCATATAAAAATGATTGCAACTGCTGGTTGCAACCACCTTTATGACCATTTTGTTTCCTTTTTTGGATTGCAACATGGAACACTACAGAATATCTCAAGAAATTGGCAGTACTTAAACTCAATGGTGGACTTGGAACAACAATGGGTTGTATCGGTCCTAAAAGTGCTATTGAAGTAAGTCATTTTTAGATTTAAGTGTTAGACAAATTGAGGTCTGTAAAACTATGACTATTATTATGGTGATAATAAGGATATAATCATTAATTAATAATAATTATTATTGTATATACATGATGAATAGTACCTTAATAGCAAATATGATGTTAATGTTCCATTCATACTTATGAATTCTTTTAACACTGATGGTGAAACTAAACAAACCATTCAAAAGTATGGAAGTCATAAAATTAGTATACTTACATTCAAGATATCCCAGAATAAATAATGAATCACTATTACCTATTCTAAGATCTCCTAACAGTGATATAAGTGAATGGTATTAATATAACAAACAAAAAATTTTATTTGTATTGTAAATATATTATATAAATTACTTATGAGATAATTTATTAGGTTAATTCAGGAATATTGGATCAATTAATTGCAGAAGGAAAAGAGTACATTTTTGTTTCCGATGTTGACAATTTGGGAACAGTGGCGGATTTGAAAATTCTTCAATATCTTGTAGATTCAGAAGTCGAATTTTTAATGGAAGTCACAGACAAAACAAAAGCTGATATCAAAGGTGGTACACTGATAGATTATGAGGGCAAAGTTAGATTGTTGGAGATAGCACAAGTACCAGCTAAACACATGGAAGAATTTAAATCCATCAAGAAATTCAGAATTTTCAATACAAATAATCTATGGATTAATTTGAAAGCAATCAAGTGGATCACCAAGGAAAAAGGATTGGGTTTGGAGGTTATTAGGAACAAGAAAACTCTGGATTCCAGTGAAAAGGTCATACAATTGAAAACAGCTGTTGGTGCAAGCTATTAAACATTTTACAAATGCTCATGGGATTAATGTGCCAAGAAATCGATTCTTGCCTGTTCTTAATAACATCTGATCTATATTCCCTTAATCATGGTGAGCTTGCAATGAATCCGAAATGTTTGTTCCAAACTGTTCCATTGGTGAAATTAGGTGATGGATTCAAAGAGGTAATAACAACAACAAAGATTGTTTTCTACTATATAAAAATTATTATTAATCAATCTTTCTTTCTTTTTATCTAACTGTAGGTGTTGAATTTTTTAGCACAATTTCAATCACCACCACACATCCTTGAACTTGATCATTTAACAGTAACAGGCGATGTTACATTTGGATCCAATGTAGAACTTAAAGGAACTGTATTATCTTTGCTAATCGTGGTACATGTATTGATATTCCATCTAATGCTGTATTAGAAAATAAAGTAGTTTCAGGAAATTTGAGAATTTTAGATCTTTAAGAATAAATTTTTTATTTTTATTTTTCCTTAATACTATCACTTGTTGTAGTAGAAAGTATAGAAAATCCAAATGGCATCCAAGTAATAAATTAGTAAAATTTATCACTAAATTTTATAATCTACATTAATGTGTATATTCCTCCACCATTCTGGATTTCGTTCTTGACTTATTGTAGTTTGGGTCTATATGTGACATCATTTCTGATGACAAAAATTTTGACTGGAAGCTTCCAATGCATGTACATAAAGCATCGGGGCTTTAATTTTAGTACTTACTATAACAATAGATGATTCCGCATGCAGGTGTTGTGACCCCTAGATATATGACATGGATTCAAGGATGATGATTTTTTCCTGTGACATAATAAGGTAATTTGGTGATCTCATTTTATAAATGTGCGAAATTATGCAGCTGTAGCTTGCAATCTTTTATGATAAATAAATGCATTGAAACACAAAATAAAAAAGGTGAATAAACATAAAAAAGTAAGGGTTGATTAAATTTAGTTGTAAATGAAAAACTCCTTAACTGGAAATTGTAATGCAATTCTAAACAAAATTGTCTCAATTCGTTATATATTTATACAACAATCATACATAGCACAAAGTATAAATGGAAAGATTTGCTAATCCCCCAATTATACATGCAGCGCATCTGAATGATAGCCGTAATTAAAAGTTGTAATGTCATAATATACTTTATAATGTTCCATCTTCATAAAAGATATAAAAAAATAAATTTGATTGCTTTCAAAAGTTTTTTTTTTTTAAATTGTTTTGATAGACATTTTTATTATTCTCTAAAAATCAACTAATAAAAATTCCTTTTATTTAAAGCACTTGAAGAAAAGTAATTTCAGAGATTGGAATCGTCCAAAAAATCCTTAGTTGACTAAAGAAATTTTTTATAATAATAATATTTCTTTTTTTTTTTTTTTTAATTTGCAAATTACAAATTCATTTCCATTTGAATCTTTCACTTTTTCAAAATGCTTCCACACAAAACCATGTGTTACAATTCATTTTTTCAAAGGTCTTCTGGAGCTTGAAGCCAATGAACTATTGGACCTTGTATTGGAAGTGTTTATTCATTCGCATGTAAAATTATCAACAACAACTCCACTACTATTGTCATCATCGTCATATTGATGGTATTGATACTCTTCCACATAGAAATTTTCCATTTTGAATGATAAAACACAAAAATCGTAATTGGTCAGACAATAATAATATTAGCATAGTATTAGTATTAGTATTAGTATTAGAAAAATCGTAATTGGTCAGACAATAAATATTAGTATTAGTATTAGTATTGGTATTAGTATTAGTAGTATTAGTAGTTGACTATTAGTTGTTCAGAAAAAAGTTTAGTCGATTATTTTAGTCGATTCCAACCTCTATTTGTTGCTCAACTTTAGTAAACTGAATTGTTGGGAAAGGGTGAGATCAAAATCAAAGAGTAAAACTTTGTAATGAGTCGTTTTTTTTCTTTTTTTGACAAATTGGTTTGAAATTAATTTTCGTTTCCAAAAATGATGAATGGTTGTGGTTATTTTACATTGCTGTATAAATTATTATTTCTATCTATTTGACAACTGAAAAATTATTAAAATGTCAGAGTTTAGTGAAGCAGACATTGACTGATAGGAAATCATGTTTCACTTTAGATGTTTTTTGTATGGTGTCGATTGTTAAGTTATCGTCTTTCTCTGATGTTTAGATCATTCAAAATGACCAAACTTATGGCCTTGCCTTGGAACCTTTACTTCAGATCCCAGATCGTGTTAGTGTTAGTATATTTTCGGATCACGAGACCATTTTGTTGTTATTATCATCATCATTATTATTATCTGTCAATTCAATGATCGATAATGTACAAATTTTTTTTTGATTTTGAACTGGATACGTAGAAAAAATTTTATTTTTAATTTCCTCTCGAAGAAAACAAATAGAATCCATTGATTAATCTTTGCAAAGAGGGGGTTTTTTTTTAATTAAAAAAAAAAATTTTTGGTGATTTTTTTTAACAACCGAAATTTGTAAATAACTTTTGATATTTGCATGAAACTTATTCTTCTATGTATAACAATAGACTTGAAAAAAAAAATCTAATCGATCCAAATAATTTAAAGTTTGATTTTTTCATGAACATAGTATAATTATTACTTGGCAATGTAATTTACTTTATTTATTTATAAATTTAAGGATTAACAATTTCGACTTGTCGGAATATATTTGTCAAGGTGATGGTAACTTGATTTGCCATAATAATAATGCCAAAGTATGTCGAAATGTCGAAGGTCTAATACTAAGTATTTGTTGAAAGTCTAATCGATGTCAAAAGTCTAAATTGGTGTCGGAATGCATGAACGATGTCGGAATGCACGAACGATGTCGGAATGCCTAAAAGATGCCCTTTTCAGCTTCAAGAGGACATCGACAAGCTGTCGATCAACTATATATTCAAACAATATTAATATCGAAATATTTAACGTTAAAATATAAAATTAATATAGTAATTATTATTTTTTATTTATATAGAAAAAAAGGTAGAATTGAGATCACATTTACATGTATTTCTTGGTCGGATTTGATTAATCGTAACTGCATTTAATTGTGGTTGCATATACCATTATTATCTATAAATAATAATATTACCAATACCTGAATTTTGATTATTATTATTTTATATACAATTGGTTTAGGTGAAATGACAAATGAAGCTATTATTGGTGAAGTTGTATTTCGACTAAATGATATAATGTTCCTTATGTTTCGAGGATGGCAAATTAGAGAAAGTTTTTTCTCGAATGATCAAGTTCTGATTGATAATATTTATGACAATTTTTTTAAAGCGAGTCATATTTCAATGGAGAATCGGCAGTTAGTGTGTTCAACGTCGCACGACAGATATAAATGTTTATTTAAGTTGAACGTATATACTTTATTTAATAATAATAGTAATGGTAAAAAAAAATGGTACTAAAAATCCAAAGAAAAGCTAAAATTATATGATGATTTTTAACAATCATACCCACATAATTTCCTATTATTTATGCATTTTAATATTAGCCTGAAACAAAAAATAAACACCACTCTTACAATTCCAATTCTTGGTACCATTAATAAAAATTTAAATTGTAGAAGGTGTCACATTGGTCACATTTGGTGATGAATCACCATCATTATTATTATTTCCATGAATCTTTTGGTGACGACGAAGATTACTGACAACAGAAAAATGACGTCCACATCCATCCACTGAACATTTAAATGCTAATAAACAAACAAAAAATAAAATTATAATTAATTAAAAAAAAAGGTAATCAATAAATAAACCATCCGATTCAAAAATATATTATCACTTACGTTTTTCACCAGTATGACTATACATATGAGTTTGTAGAGAACTTGGTCTCGTGAATCTCTTTTGACAAACTTCACATTTATATCTTTTAGGAGTTGATGAAATAGTTTTTGAATTAAAAGTAGTCATCATATCTTGAGGGGAGGGTACATTTGGAGATGAGGTTTGTGGTTTATCTGGTGTGCTGTCATTATTATTATTTGTAGTTGGAATAATGGATATATCGTTTGTGACAGTATAACTTGCACCACCACCACCACCACCACTCAAGGCAGCAATTGCTGCATATTCTTGTGTTGTAGTACCCATTGCATAATTAACAGGTTCATGTTGAGCTAAACCGATTGGGGATTGGCCATAATAGTTCGCTGGAGTAGCAGTTGTGGTAGCAGCAGCTGCTGCTGCTGCAGGAGTTAATTTCATTGAAGGATCATTAAAAAGAGCAGGGTCCAAAGAATGTTCTTCGTAAGTTTTTGCTGATTTTGGAGGATAAGGACCAAACGGATAAGTTGAACTGCTATTGTTAGGCCATACTTCACCAGTTTTTACGACACAATTGGATGATCCAGCAGCATTTTTATGACTAAAGAATAATATATGAGGGAGGAAGATTAATAGGAAATTATAATTACAAGTAAGTGATAATTATGATAATCATTTTTTTATAATAATTTATAAATTATTAACTCATATTCTGTTGATGATTTTGCTGTGGTATCAAATGCTTTTGTGTTGTTAGATGAATTAATGATTGATGTTGCAGAAGTTGCTGCATTATTTGAATCCGCAGTAGTAATAGTGGTAATTGTTTCGGTGGATGGAGTAGTAGATGTAGTGGTGTTTTTAATGGCTGATGATAATCTTTGAATTTCATTAGTAGTTGAAGCTTCGTTAGAGGCTGGATTAGCCGAATAATTGCTCATTATTATTATTTTTTGTTTTTTTTAATATATATATATGTATATTATTTTGCTGATTATTTTCTGTTGAATGTTAATCTTTATGTCTAAATAAATATTATTTTTTTGTAGATGATGGATGATTAAGACGATTTTCATTGACTTTTTTAAAAATTTTAAATCACGATAAAACTATTTAAACCTCCTTTTTTCTTGTTAAAAATAGATAAATTGATTGATTACCTTGGTTTTTTAAATTTAATAAATTAAAAAAATATCTTTTCTACACTTGAAAAAGTTTTTTTGTCTAGTATTAAAAAAAAAACTTTTAGGAAACAATATTTTTTTGTAAAAGAAATATGAGCAAATTTACATATAAACAAGCATAAGAAACTGATCAAAGTATAATAGAGAATTATAGAGAATTATAGAGAGGAGAAGCTTAGTTTTTTTTTTTTTTTTTGTGAAAATAAAAAAGATATCGTGATCCTTTTAAGATGGAAAGTAACACAAAAATTTAATACCCATAATCTTGGGCACATTTCTAAAAATAATGCTAAAGAAGGAGGGAGGTCTTGATGACATAAAAAAAAAGGTTTATATAATCTATTTTATTTGTTTATTTCATTAAAATATAAGTAGGTAGTCTTTAAATTAACTTGCACGTCTGCAAGGAATTTTTTTAAATGTGCAAATGGTCTTCCTTGCACACATACGCATCACAATAACTTGACGTGCATCCAAAAAATACAGATCAACATGCACAGAATGTCCATGTGAATTTTTCCCACGTTATAATTAAAACCAACAGTGAAAGCATTTCATATTAAAGCATATTCAATAAAAAAGTTCTGCTCTTAACCTATAAAATGAGCTGTTTTTCAAAAATCTGTTCATATTAATATTAATATTAAATACTCAATAGCCTTTTTAAAAAGGCTGACTGATTGCAGGGCAAAAATTTTAGAAATTATTATTATTAACGGATTCTTAACGAGTACATAATAATAATAATAATAATAATAATAATAATACTATAGAAATTTACATATGGAAATTCTGTATGAATTACAATTTTTATTGCTATTATTAATCTGTAATCTAATATAATTATGTAAATGTCATATTACATGACTATTGATGGTTTATAAATACATTCAGTAAAGCCATCTCTGAAGGTTGTATACTTTAATTACGTAAATATCATATTACATGACTATTGGCAATTTATTTTATAAAATATATTCAGTGGATCAAACTATGAAAGTCTTCTATGATCAGACGCAAACAGGGCTTCCATTATCATCTTCTGCACAGCCAGGTGTAGCGCAGTCATCACTACTAACACAGGGTTGACCCAGTTTACAATTGTTCTTCTTGCCTCCTACCGTGCAGGTACCCACCTTGCGCACGCAGACGAAATTGTCACAATTTTTAAATATACAATCGTCATTGCTGCTACAAGAAAAGCCTGAATGACAATCGCGTTTTCCTTCACCTATCGAACAATCGGCTATGTAATGGGAAGAATTTTAAAATTTGAAGATTAGTTGGAAAAATGAAGAAGCCATATTCACGGCGTGAATTTAGCAAAGGTAGCGATGAACATTTGCTTTAAGAAATCATTTACCTTCGATAACCGGCATCCAAGCTAAGCTAAGCGCTAGGCTCGAGACTATACCAATGATAAGAGTAAAGAAAGTGTATTTCATGATGGGTATGGTTGAACTTATTATTTTCAGATTTGTGTTGTAACTTTTTTTTCAATTAGTTGAGCAAATGTTTATTTATTTAAGGATAGCTCTACAAATATTTTATAATTTGTTTTAAAATAGCGTTGTTTTTATTACCTAAATGAAGTTCAAATTCGCGGTCTTTAAATAATTCTTGAAGTTGCACGAAAATGATTATGCTAATTTTTTATACGTTGAATTTGTCAGAAAGAGAGAGGGATAATAAAAATTAAATTAATAGTTTCAGTTTATCAATTAGCATTAGTATTAGAGCGCCAAGAGAAATCGATCGGCTAAAAATCAGCTTGATATACCCTTTATTATTATGGGCTAATCTAGGAACTTTTGCTAGGGGCTTCGTGAACCAAAACTTTGCAAATTTTTAATTATTTTTTTTTATCTAATAATAATTATAACAATCCATCCTAATTATTTATCAAGAAGGAAGTAGCAGTGAATGCATTATTAGAGAAAATATAATATTTTTTTTTTTTGCGAAACTGATAAATAAATCAAAAGTAAAATCATCCAAGTAACTTCTTGAGTGAGGCGAATATGGGATTTCGGCCATCAATGGCATCTCCAGGGGAGGGCCAACTCATTTGTGAGAATAAAAAACTTGTTATGAATTTTTTTCTCATACATATTTTTAATGCTACGAAATGTCAAAGATCAATCACAAAAGGCCAGAATGATATATTACGATCCAGAGTCGTATTAAAAAGGATTCGATTCTTTCTATAAATATATTCAATAAGTACGATAAAAAATAATTAATTGAATATATATATATATGCAAAGCGAGTCTCGTTATAACGAACGGATCAGTTAGAGAAACCCGTTATTATTATACCGAGATTTAATTAGCAAGTCCGTTATACTGAGAGAACTTATTTTGCTCAATCCGTTAGATTGAGACATTTCATTAGACATTCGCTAAATCGAGATTCGCTATGTAATTAATTACCTTTGTTAGTGTTTGAAAAAACATTTTTTTTATTTATCCGAATTTTCTTTTTAGAAAATAATATTAATATGGCGGAGAACTTCAAAGTAATATATAAGATTATTATGATTCATAGTATCACCCCCCATACAGTATGAAAATAAAGTTTTTTCGATCTACATTTTGATAATCAAAATATTTTTTTTGAAAATGGGAAATTTTTTTTGAACTTGTTTCAAAGAATTTGAATTTTTATTTCGCAGTTAGCGAAAGGGTAAAAAAAAGAATTGAAGATAGGAAAGAGCACAAGAAATTCTTTTTTTATAAAAATAAAGATAATAGTGAAGTAATAATAACTCATAACAATATTAATTGTAAGAGTAATATTATAAATAATGACAGAAACTTCTCAACCAATCATGACTTCAAAGACTCCTTTGTTACTGCAAAAATTAAATGAAAAACAAATTCGACGTAAAGTAATTATTATCTTATCAAGTTTAGTGCTGGTAAATATTGGAGTTTGGATTGCAACAGCATTTGCATTCCGAGACTTTCCTTCATTATTAGGTACAGCAGCATTAGCTTATACTTTAGGGTTGAGACATGCGGTTGATGCCGACCATTTAGCGGCTATTGACAACGTGACAAGAAAGCTATTACAAACTGGTAAACATTCGGTGTCAGTAGGATTGTTTTTTTCACTAGGACACTCTACAATTGTCATGTGTGCCACAATAGCCATAGCAATCACTGCCACAACAATCAAAGAAAGGTTTGGAGATTTTGAAACAATTGGAGGATTGATTGGTACGACAGTGTCTGCAACATTTTTATTTATCATTGGAATAATCAATACATTTGTGTTGATATCCATATACAAATCTTTAAAGAAATTTAAAGAATCAGGAGATTACAAAGAGGAAAATATCGAAGATATATTAAATAATTCAGGGTGCTTAGGTAGGTTCTTCAATCCAATATTCAAATTCATTGACGCCAGTTGGAAAATGTATCCTTTAGGAGTATTGTTTGGATTTGGATTTGATACATCAACGGAAGTAGGTTTATTAGCCATAGCAGCATTTCAAGCCAATAAAGGATTATCAATATGGCTCATATTATTATTTCCTTTATTATTTACATCTGGTATGGCATTAGTTGATACTTTGGATGGAATATTAATGTTGGGTACTTACACATGGGCTTATATAAATCCAATTAGGAAATTATATTACAATTTTATCATAACATTATTATCAGTTTTGGTTGCATTTGTTATTGGGATAATTGAATTATTCAATATAATTGGTGATAAGTTGGGATTTGAGGGAGCATTTTGGGATTTTTTTGCATCACTTGGAAATCATTTTGGCACAATTGGATTTGTTATAATTGGTATTTTTATTTTAACTTGGGCCATTGCTTCAATTATTTATAAATATGGTGGATATAAAGATTTAGAACAAAGATTTAAGGATCAACAACAACAGCCATATAAAGATGATGGTGGCGGTGGTGACGGTGGTGATGGTGGTGATGGTGGTGGTGATGGTGATAGTAGTATAGTTAAAGGTAAAAATAATATTGATTGGAACAATGAAGAGGACGATGATGATATTAAAGTAGTGGTAATAGATAAAATTTAATTTATTTGTTCATTTAGAATGTTTTTTGTAATATTAACATTTGATCGTTAATAATATTGCGAGGAGAAATGTATAGTAATAGTGCTAAATAAATACTTTTATTGAAAATTCGAAATTTACATGCATTATTATTTTCTCCTCATTTGTCAACTTCTTTTTGATGGTGTGTGATCTTATTTATTTGCTAGTTTCTTCAGACAACTTGTATTTCCCTCATTTATTACCTCCAAGTTTCTGTATTTTTTAACCTGTACCAACTCGATTCCGTTTTAAAATTAAAAATAATAATAATAATAAATTAGGGATTGGTGCATCTGGGGTCATGAAAATGATCACCCGGGTGGAAGAAAGACAATAATAAATTAACATATCCATAATATTTATGGTTTTCTAAAATGCTAACTTATGATTCCTCTTGAACATAATATGTTTAAGTATCTATTACAACCAATGTATGAAATTTGCCATAATGCAAATTTAATTGTGCATGTATCATTATCTATTGATATCTATTTTGTTGATTTTTATATTGCACTATCTCCCCAACTAAATTCCATACACTGATTACAACTATAGTTCTTAAAGGTTTTTCAATGATTAATCTACTTGCAAATTTAATTATTTTGAGTAATTCAATAATTGATTGTGAAAATTTGATGTACAGTTAACAAATTTATTATAAAAATTGTAAATAATAATTTAATCATAAATATTGTTGTAATTACCTTGCAATGACATTATCAATTTGTCATTTCTTTTATTTTTTTATTAATTAACAATTAAGAGATTGTTGAGTTCTTTTTCATGTAAGATCAATTGTTTCGTATATATAATTTTTGTTTCAAATTTATATTAGCATATTATTCTTGGTAAATAGATAATTACTTAAATGAAATGATAACTCCAATTCAATCTGAAAGAGTTGATGTTTATCAATGGTGGAAGGACAATCAGCACCCTTTTCCCATTTTTAGTAGAGTTACACGTAAATACTTCTCAATTTCTGCCACCTCTATTCCATGCGAGTGTTTTTTTTTCTTATGCAAGAAATTTGGTTACCTCTAAAAGAACATGTTTAGGGCATGAATTAATGAATCGGTTATTGTTTGTAAAAGAAATAATTTATATTGCAAAGTTTGGGACCTGGTGTATGTGAAATTGAAACTGTGTGAAATCGAAATTTATAATTAAAATTTTGGGTTGGCGTTTGGATATTTCACAGTTGTAGATTGAAAAACAAAATGCAATTATTGCACCAGGTAAGTATTTGTTTTGACTTTCGAAACCAAAGGTAACTTTTTTAGAATTCATATGGTGTATATATTTGAATTAGATTCGAACCAAGTCGAATCGAATCATTTATAGGGAGTTTTGAATCGAATAAAAAATACGATATTTGATTTGTATTTGACTTTAAATTGATCTCTTTTAACAAAGGATTTAGGATTTGTCGGTTCGTAGAAATAAAAATCGATTTCTTTTAAAAATAAAAAATGCTGATTTGTTGGTTTATAGAGATAAAAATTCTTCTGCTTTTTATTTGTCAAAGGATTTTTTAGATGGATTTCTTTCCTATGATTTTTGCGGAAAAATACATTATTAATAACGGATATTTTTTCTAATTCCAATGATCCGTTATAGAGAGAGTGAACTGTAAGACTCGGAACAAATCAACAAAATTTGAACCAACATTCCCCTGTATTAATTAGTGTATGTATTTAGCATTAGTATCAAAATGCATTTTTCTAATGCATTCCATATCAAAAATATGTTTTTTCCATGTGTATTTCTGCATCTATTCAACACTAGCACATAATTTTTTATAGGGTTGTTGAAATAAGGTTTGACCGAATTTGCCTTATTCTAACACATTTTATTTATTTTTAAAAATCTGGTTTGATTCAAATCAAATCAAATCAAGTCATGGAACGAATTGAATTGAATCGAATCCAGTTTTTTGAATTGGAATTACTTTAATATTCAACTTGATTTGATTTGTTTGGAGTCTTAATAAGATAATTGACAAGAAGATTTATAAAGCAAAGAAGCATAAGCATGTAAAGAAATTGTCAATTATATAAATATATAAATATATATTATCATTTAATAAAAATAATAATAAAATATAATTCTAAAATCTAAATAGAGATATAAAAACTATATCACATTACTTGTTATAATATATATATACAATTTACAAATAATAATTAAATAAACAAATGGAAAGAGATGAAATAACTTCACAAAGTAATCAATCTTAAATTATAAATCAATAACTAATTACCAACAAACTTGACACAAACTGTCATCTGATTTCACCAACATCCAGCAAGCATCCCTCCCAAGATATGATAACATAATAATCAAAGGATTTCTAGCCTTTACCAACTTTTTTAATATTTCTGAATTCCCTACAAAGAAAGATTAAATATTTTGAACTTTTTTTTTGAATTATAAAATATTAATTTCAAGAATTAAAGATTTTATTTAGTCATACCTGAAATTGATTATTCTAGCACGTTTAGATTTCCTAATAACAAAAATAAAATACATCATTAATTTACATCAATAATCATTTATTATTAAGGATTTCTACTAACAATAATTTAGCTCTAATTTTGGAGTCTCTTGACCAATTATACTCAACCATTTCCTAATTTTTTTTTTTTAGAATGTTAAAATGCATAATTAATTATTTGAATTCTTACAATTAATTATTATAAATATATAGCATAAATGTGTAAACAAAAATATATAATTAGTACAAATATTTACATTTGTATTAGTACAAAATGCCACTTACATCTATAATCTCTTTGATTTCAGTATTCAATTCATTCCATTTATTCAATAAATACAATTCTAAAAAGAAATGCTCCATAATAGGATTATATAATTCATCAGAACATAACAATTTTCCAACATTATACATGATTACACAAATGCACTCCAAGTAAATGTCAATGAATACTTTTCTTTTGAATTCTTGTTTCCAAGTTTCCAAATATTCAACATCAACATCATCATCATGATTAAGTTTGTTTTTGATAGTATTGAATAATCTCAAGATGGTTGAACAGACAAGTACCCCACCATTAATATTTAATTTCAAAGATTCACACATCATATAAACAAGTCCAATATAATGATTTTTTTCCTTGCTCAACAAATATAGGAACCTTTTATTTTTCATCAATTCCTCTTGATTACATTCACCATCCCCACCTTCATTGTTACAAAATTCATTTGATAATAAGATTGGATCTAGATTCATGCCATCTTCAAGTTCTTTTTCCAACCTCTCAAATAATATTTTCTTGAATAGTCTATCACCTTTACAATATTCTTCCTCTCCCGCCACTCCTTTTCCTCCTTCTTTGCATGACAGTGATCTGCTCACATTATAACTTATTTTTGGATTAATATTCAAAACAACATGTTTGATTAGTTTACCATAAAAATCGAAATAATCTTCATCCACTCTATCAATCAATTGTTGAACTATTTCTTCTAGAACACGAATATTGTCCTTTTCTTTCAATGATTTATTGTTAATGTAGTCAACTACTTCATTAGATACATCCTCAAGCTTATGATCAATCGATTTGACTTTGTCAAGTAAATTTGATACCTGTTCACAAATGGATTCAATTGGTTCCAAGTTTCTTTTAGCAACAGATTGAGAAGATTCAAACCCAGTTGCTGTAAGTTTCAAACTAAGATCAGGTGTACCGTTTTTGTTGCAATGTAAATTGACTAAAGTTGCAGTTGAAGTCATTGTTATTTATTGTTCAGTTAAAATAAAAAGTATAAATGTGCGGGTATATATATATATTAGTGATTTCTGAAAGATTGATTATATGAAAATTTTATTATCGTGCCACAAATGGCATTGTTTAGTTTCCAATTCCGTAAAATGACACAAGATTTTTGTATATAGCACGATTATTATCACGTAAAATGTTACACGAATTATTTATAATCATCAATTAAAGTGGGCACAAGTGTACTAATTAATGATCAAACTTCTATATATTATTGCCCTAGTTGTTTTATACGAATTGTCAAAAGATCACAGAGAAGAGCACACTTTTCAAAATTGCAATCTATTTTATAAGAGTTAAATGTCACCTAACAAACAATTCTGTGATTACTTTAAAAAAGAAAATTCTCAACATTTAGAAGTGTTACTGAAGAGGCTAAGAAAAAAGCTAACAAGGGAGAATTTTTTGTAAACCTTTTTGCTCAAATTGTTATAATTTTGTGGTGCAATATGACAGGAATCAAAAATACAACAAGAAAAATGATGACAAGTCATTTAAAAGAGATAAAATATTGCAACTAATAATAATAAATCTTTAGCTCCAATTGAAGAATTACAAAATGAGATAACAAAATTAAAAAAAGAAATAGAAACTCTTTCAATAAATGAAATGACAGGTAAAAGATTTAGAATATAAATATATGATATATGGTTCACTCTCTTTATGATAATAATAATAATAACAGATCATTTGGGGCATATTGCAACAAAACCAGACAAAAGTGAACATTGGTATTACAAGAATTTCAGGGATCAAAATTTAGTTAAAATCTCCCATTTGTGATATATAGAATTATCCCTATATAAAAATAATTAATATGAAACTCATTTACATCAGATCTACTATGGAACCCAAGAATTACAGCACCATTAGAAGTATTTTAAAAAAAAAAACAAGGTGAAAAAATTGCTCCTTACATTTTCAAAATATATGATACTCAGACACTTGAAGCTTATTTAAGAAAAGAAAAGATTATTTATGAAATTTACCAAGAAAAAAGAAAAACCATAAACATTAAGAAAAGGAGATACACTATTACCCAACAAAAAGCAGAAACTTTGGACAAAAAAATCTAATACAACTGACTTACTGTCTATTTTTATCTTTCTCAATGAAATTCCTGAAACCAATACTAATGTTTACTCCAACTATAATTTAAAGAGTCCTTTTTGATGGTTGAGCATTGACCTTTTTTTTTTTGTAAAACTATTTTAAGAATTGTTTAGAACAAAAAAAATAACCATGTGTAGAAAGAATGTTTTAATTGCCACAATACCAAAGAAGGTTTAACTGTTAATTGATGAGATGAAGAAAATAGAGAGATCACTAAGTTTTGTTGCTGAGAATGCTCTGAAAATTTGATTCAAAAAGAATTAGATGAAAATACTGCTGATTGAGAAAGGAATAAAAACATTATCTTTAGAGAAATTTAAAATAAAGAAAATTTTGATTGATGAGATAGGATTACAATATGGTGTCTTCAATGTAAAATCATGTTGGACCGAGATGTCACCACTTATGAAGATAGTCAAGGACATAAGTGCCTCTAATGTTGTAAATGTCAGCAACAAATTGCAAAAGGCAAACAAAACAATCACTTTACTTGAAAAGATGACAATATGCCCAGTTATAAAGCTCTGAATGAATCAATGAAATTCAAACTGATTCAAATCAATTCAAATTCAAATTGAATTGAATCACCTAATTTTTGATTTGAATATTAAATATATATAATTTGATTCAAACTGATTCAATTCATTTTGATTTGAACTGACTCAAATGTATAATTTGATTTGAACTGATTCAACTCAACTCAATTCAAACTAGTGACATCAGGAAACTTTTCCCGCCATAATATTACATCCATAAGTTTTAATATGAAATGTCGTAATATTTTGCATAAAAAGGATGTAATATTTACACTGAATGTAATAATTGCGTAATTTTTGTGCAATTTTTGCATAATATTACACTATTTACGTAAGTTTATGGCAGGCCCCATAATATTACGTAAATTTACGTCAGAAAAAATTTCCTGATGGATGGTGGCTGAGACTACACTTAATTGCCAAAATTAATTGGCCTAAACTTTGACAAAACTAATTTTAATAGCTGAAATTGGGAGTTTTAAAATAAGTAGATTGATTTAGATACTTATTGGATGAAACTATCTTTTTTTCAAAACAGTTTTGGCTACCATCACTAAATAATATCCTTTATCAATTAAAAAATTTAAAATATACACAATTTTGGTTTAGCAGATAGTTTGTGTTTAGAAATTTTTCCAAAAATCTGTTATTATTATATTCAAACCTTGTCACAGTGGACCATAATAATAATTAATTCTTATCATAATGGATTTTTAAAAATTTTTGTCTTCTTGAAGACACCTCTTGATCTCGAAGTTTCTTTTCTTTAATAATCTGAATAATTTCTTCACTTACCCTTTCCTTATGTTTTGTATCCAGGAATTCATCGATCTCCTCGTCTTCCAGTGATTTATGAGTCTTTGACTTCTGACATACGCCAGAATTTGAAGCAATATCAGATATATCAGATACCGGAGTATTCTCATTTTGTGAAATTATCTGTTTAGGTGTATTATCAGAATTTGATCTACAAGAAGCATTGACTGTGTCACTGATATTAGCCGAAGATTGTTCTTTTGGGACAAATGTATTTACCTGTTTGGTTTCTCCAGTATCATCTAATTTAGATGTGAGAACATCCTCACTTCGAGAAATAATAAAGTTACTCTTTTCTTTACAGTCAAACCTCGTTATAACGGACCTCGTTATAACGGATTTTTGTTATACCGGACAAAACTTTATTTCTATTTTTTTTTATTAAATAAAAAATTTTGTTATAACGGATTTATATAATAAACCTCGTTATTCCGTATAACGGACATTTATTGAAAATTTTTATATATATTACTAGTCGCGTTATACCGGATTTTTTGATGAGCACAGATCATCTATACTAAAAATGTTCAAGTTTGTATTTTCACAATACATTCATTTTCCCTTTTCTACAATATATTAATTGTTTGATCTTTTTTACTATTTCTTTACAAAGAATACATTCATTTGTATTTTTATTTTGATCTTTTGTTTACTATTACAAGACATTCATCTGCAATTGCTCATTCGCCATACTTTATTTTATAGCTTCTATCCAAGATACTCTTTAAGGGTTTCAATTGTAATGATAATAAATAAAATAAAATAATTGTCCTATTACTAACAGTTGATGGAAATGTAGATATTGCTTTAACAATGATTTATTGATTTAATTGACAAAATAGAGAAATGAAAAAAGTGTTTTCTTTGAACTGAATGGTTAGTTTATTTTAAAAACGTCAAATTGTTTTTCATTGATATTGAAGTTTT